TTGCTTTTCATGTTGAGGAGCCGGTCGGCCGAGCGGACAGCACACTGGACTTGTGATCCTGTGGTCCTGGGTTCGATCCCAGGCGCCGACAAGAAACAATGGGCAGAGTTTCTTTCACCCTATGCCCCTGTTACCTAGCAGTAAAATAGGTACCTGGGTGTTAGTCAGCTTTCATGGGCTGTTTCCTGGGGGTGGAGGCCTGGTCGAGGACCGGGCCGCGGGACACTAAAAAGCCTCAAAATCATCTCGGGATAACCTCAAGATAACAGCAGAGCTATGGGTGGTACAAGGGCATGGGAGGCACTCCATGGATGGTATTTCACTAATGTTCCCAGCTTTGGTTTTTAGTGAGTGAATGATGGACACCACATCTGTCGGGCTGACTGGTAAAAGAAGCAGACAGTTACGATAGCTGCCTGTAAGATACGTAGTAACATGTGTCTGGGTCTGTGGGATTTTTCTGGCAAGGTTAACTTTTCAACTGATGAAAAGAAGCTATTAAATTATGTTGCAGGTGTATAACCATCCTTGGAGAGTTTTATCTGCTTGATATGTGATTGCTGTTTAGATCCTAGGATGTTAGAAATGGCTTGCCATGTGCTTTTCATGTTGCCTTTTGCGTCTTTGAATCGACTCTCATAATAGAAAAGTTTCGCTCGTTTTATTATACTGGTAAGCATTGATGAGTCTCTCTTAACTACTTCTTTTGTAACTAGGCCAATCCTAAGTTGTTCATATTCATGTTTCTTGTTGATTTCTTTAAGTATGCCACTTGTGAGCCAGGGATTGTCTAATCTTTTGGCAGTTACTTGCTTGGTGAGGAGAGGACAGTGTGTGTTGTGGAGGCTTAGAGTTTTGGAAAGGAGTTGTTGGCTAATTAATTTATATCCTGCATATTATTGAATTCTGATTCCCAGTTTATATTGTGAAGTGCATTTGTGAGATTGCCTATTGCTGCTTCACTGTGTAGTTTGAAGGTAAGTTTATTGGTGTCTGGTGGTGTTATGTCCATGTTTGCTATGAGGAAGGTAGGATAGTGGTCAGTTGTTCTGTCAGTGACTATACCAGATGTGAGGGGAGCTGTTATGTTAGTCCATACGTGATCCAAGTTAGTAGCAGATGTTTGAGTGACTTGGGTGGGGTTGGTGATTGTGGGGATTACCCTACAGGAATTCATGCTGTTAAGGAAATAATCGACTTGAGGGTTATTTTGTTGACACAGGTCAATATTGAAGTCACCTCCTAGAATGATATGACTTTTGTTGAGCTTGTTGTTTATGATAAGATTCCTTAGGTTATTTGAAAATGCAGTTATATTAGTATTGGGAATCTATAGATAGCTCCAATAGTCAAAGGGGATTTAAGGGATTTAATCGAGAATTGAGCAAAGGTATATTCACAGTAGTCGTCTCTCTCACTAATGACACTATTGCAGATGAAGGTATTTTGGTAATAGGCGTGACCTAGATGTATTATGTAACCTAGCTGCTCTTTGACTGTGAACTCTCACACTCAACCAGGACGACATCGGCAGGTGCCAAGACTGGTTTGTTAGTGGAGTTACTCAGTTACTGGAGCCCAGTCACACTCCTTGTATCAGCTAAGTTGGTTCTAAGGCCAAAATTTGCAATAAATGAACTGTGGTAGGATTTTTCAACTTATCTGTGATAATATGTGGTGAGCCTATTTTGTCTACTCTAGCCTGCAGCTCTAGTAACGGTGTGGAGGATCTCTACGCTATACTTGCTTGTGAAGGATGTTGCACAGTGCTCACTCGCCTGAACATGTGCTTGTTAAACCTATCTTCCCGTGGAGCTTTTAGTGGGAAGAACTCCCAGACGCAGCAAGGGTTGTTGAAAATGTTTTTTAAGCAGGCCTCCGAAGCTTCAGATCTGGCCCAGTTGCAAGTGATAATGGTAGAATGGGAGTAGCGAGTCGCAAACCGCAGGAAGACTCGCAGAAATTAGTGCTGTCATACCCGGTGCCATCTCTAGGTGGCCTACATTAGTAGCTACACAAGTGAACTGATTACTATATATGGGTTTCAGTAGGCTTCCATTTGTAGTGTTCTTTAGTGTGAGGGATTCACAGTAATCTATACAGGTAATCTTGACAGATTTACTCCGTTTAGCCTCTGTTAGAGTGCCCTGGATAAGTACAAGCCCAGGCGTCCATGCAGAGACAAGTAGTACATTTTAAAATGAGGGGTCTTGTAATAATAGTTATCTTGCTTGTATTCATTATGATAACCTACGGTGAAACCGATTATCTTGTAAAGCTTCCATGGAGAGTCAGTTTGTAGGCTTGTCATACCACTAATGTCAACCAGTGATGCTTGGGATGAGTAGAGTAATAATGATGGAGGATAGTACTTGAGAATTTTGGATCCTTTCTTTAGAACTTAGGAGGTTGTCCTCGTCTAGAAGATGACCCATATTGATCATCTGAAGTGGCAGGAGCTTGTGCTGTAAGCCATGTATGTTTCTCTTTGAACTCTATTATTAAAATTGTAGATGGTTCTTAAAGAAGGAATTAATATTCTGGAATTGCAAAAATGTCAATACTAAATCAGTTACCATCAGCAATGTGTGGTGTGAGAAATAACAGCAATGATCAATACCTGGTGAGAATGGTGTGTGGTTTATATCACTGGCAGTTGTTCTCACGCCACCTTGGCTGACCCATGAGCTGCCCGCTCGCGTCATTCTCTTGAGATCATAACATCCACTGGACACTATAGGTCTGTCAAGTTGTCCTTCATATGTGGATATTTGTTTTAATTGGTCTGTAATTCCACAATTTTTTGCTACCTGGATTTAAATATTGTCTGCAAACAATAATTGCATGTCCGCTGAGGAGTAGCTTCAGTGTCTTAACAAGTTAATGTTTGAAGATAATTTCAGCCAGACAGCTGTTAGAGTGGTCATAGTGGTCTCCTTATTAACTACCAAAGTGCTGGCATGAGCATCTCTTATATATAACCCTGTACTACCGGGAAGAGTCCCAGTAGTTATCACAGTCGGGTTCGTTCTCGACGCACAATCGAGAATTCCGGGTACGAATCCCGGGTGAGACATAAAGGGATGGGCACATTTCCTTTCACCTAATGCCTCTGTTCACCTAGCAGTGAGTAGGTACTCAGGAGATAGTCACATTGTTGTAGGGTTGCATCCTGGGCGGGGTCAGTAATTCGGCCTTGGAGAAAAATGGGAACTCGATAAAAGCCAAATGTGTATGAATACACACTGGCCTCCTGTCCCCCGACACAATGAATTAAATTATGAATTATAACCATGCCATAGGCTTTGAGAGATGGCCCACAAAAAAATGAGAAGTGACACCTTATTTATAATAGTTTTGGGGAATTGAATGTTATTGGCAAAGTAAGTAATTATCAAAAATGCACCAAACCGGGAAGACAAACATGTTCTTACAAATTTAGTCAAGCAGTTCTGCAACTCAGATCCTGACAGGACCGGATCTTCGTCAACCCAAGGTCTGTAATCCTTTTTGCGCTACCGCTCACAGGATGAGTATGGGGTGCACAATAAACTAGCCGCCTCCGGCGGCAACAATAAAAAAAATAGGGACGGGTTAAGCCCTCGGATAAGACCTCAGCTAAATCAGGTCCGGCACCTCCATCCCTCATACAGCAGCTTCAGCATGATGTGACGAAGTAGTTCAAGAGAGAGAGGACACAATATTATAAGTGCAGGGTTGTTACTAATGTTGCATTAACTGTTAACCTATCATGATGGACATGCCAGTTAACCTCCAGGACACTGGTGAATGTTGATACCTGGTAATTAGGGAGATCAGCTTCAGTGTTTTGAGTTCAGGAGTGGAGAATTGCTTGTCCAAGTTTGTATGACCAATATTTGTTGATTCTGTCCCTCCTCAGAGGATGGCCCAGACGCTGGCTGAGAGCCCCTTCAGGTTGCATGCACGAATAGAAATGCCAAATTTCTATTCGTGCAATTCAATAAACTCTCACTTTATATATATATATATATATATATATATATATATATATATATATATATATATATGTCGTACCTAGTAGCCAGAACGCACTTCTCAGCCTACTATGCAAGGCCCGATTTGCCTAATAAGCCAAGTTTTCCTGAATTAATATATTTTCTCTAATTTTTTTCTTATGAAATGATAAAGCTACCCATTTCATTATGTATGAGGTCAATTTTTTTTTATTGGAGTTAAAATTAATGTAGATATATGACCGAACCTAACCAACCCTACCTAACCTAACCTAGCCTATCTTTATAGGTTAGGTTAGGTTAGGTAGGTTAGGTAGTCGAAAAACAATTAATTCATGAAAACTTGGCTTATTAGGCAAATTGGGCCTTGCATAGTAGGCTGAGAAGTGAGTTCTGGCTACTAGGTACGACATATATATATATATGTATATATATATATATATATATATATATATATATATATATATATATATATATATATATATATATATATATATATATATATTTATATATATATTTATATATATATTTATATATATATTTATATATATATTTATATATATATTTATATATATATTTATATATATATTTATATATATATTTATATATATATTTATATATATATTTATATATATATTTATATATATATATATATATATATATATATATATATATATATATATATATATATATATATATATATATATATATATATATATATATATATATATCTCTCTGATCTTATCATCACATTACTGTATTTTTCAGCTGCTGCTATTTCAGATATTATGTTCACAACATCCTCTTAAAACAAACAAATCTTGCAGAGACCAATTGTAATACTTGGCTGCTGGTGACCGTGATTATATACCTTTCCTTCATTTGCAATGCTGTAATTACTAAAGTTACCCAACAGCCTGTAACATTAGTCATGGGTTTAATTCGGTTAGACAAGATGTTGAACTTCTTACAATAACAGCTAAAGATGTTTCCCCTTTTGGCTAGGCTTGATGCGTTCCCGTGTGAGAGGCTCGGACGCTGCTACTGCACCTATCCTCACCTTTCTCGACTCTCACTGTGAGTGTAACCAACACTGGCTAGAGCCTATGCTGGAGAGAGTGGCTGAGGTAAGTTACTCATTTAAAACTTAGTTATTGCTAATGAAAATAATTTGAGGATACAGGAACTATAGAGGGGTGTCCCATAAGTCAGTCACCATAGGACTTTATAATTGTTGCTGCTATAAGGAGGCTAATTTAATTGTGCATTATACTTGTCCTATGAGCAGTAGAACATAAAAGGTTTCAGAATTTCCATTGTATAAATAGATATTATCCATCATGATACAAATAAGGCAGTTAATGCTGCATGTAATAATTCATAATCCTGAAATTGAACCAGACCTGGGGGGGGGGGGTTATTCCAATCCTTGTCGTCAAAACCCACACTTTTTCAAGAAACTATAGAGCTCACAGAAGAGCAGTCACTAACATTCAAAAGGTATAAGGTATTATGATCTGCTTTGAACTAAGAACTATATATATATATATATATATATATATATATATATATATATATATATATATATATATATATATATATATATATATATATATATATATATATATATATATATGGCCACCATAAAACATATACTGAGTACTGTGATATTGTTATTGCCAGTCTTAGACTTAGATATCATTACTTATTTGGAAGCAAATCTACAAATGCAGTTCAGCTTCAGATAGACAATGTGAACATTAGCAATAAAAATGATGGAAAGTTTCTTGGCCTATTCAAATTCAAATTCAAATGTTTATTTAGGTAAAGTACATACATACAAGGGGTGATACAAATATTGATGAATTTATAGATAGAGCTAGTACATACAATGCAGACAAGACATGACAATTCCTAGACAAGAGACTCACCTTCAGCACCCACATTCAACACATAACTAAGAAAGTCTCTAAAACAGTTGGTATACTCTCCAAAATCAGATATTATGTACCTAACTCTGCTCTCATCTCTCTATATTATGCACTAATCTATCCCTATCTTAATTATGGTATCTGTGCATGGGGTTCAACCACTGCAAACCACCTCAAGTCCATCACCACCCAGCAAAAATCTGCTATCAGAATAACAACAAATTCTGCTTTCAGACAACACTCAGGCCCCTTGTTTAACTCCCTAAACATGCTAAACATAATCTCACTCCACAAATTCTCTTGTGTCAACTACATTTACAAAACCCTGTTCTTAAATGCAAACCATGCTCTAAAACTCTCCCTGGACAGATGTAATAGGACCCATTATCACCACACCAGAAATAAATATATCTTTGATATCCCCAGGGTCAAACTTAATCTGTGTAAACACTCTATGCAAATAAAGGGACCCAGTCTATGGAACTCACTCCCTAATGAATTGAAAAGCTGTCCAACTTTTGCTTCATTCAAAAACAAAACTAAAAAGTACCTAATTTCATCTTCATAGTTTTTTACCTTGTTGCTTTAAATTTGCACTGTATCTATTGCTATCCAATCTCCCAATCTTTTTGTACCCAATCTGAACATCTTTACCATTGTGATCATTACTGTCTTCTTATATGTGCTATCAATCTGCTGTATGGTGTCTATTAATCTTGTTTAAATTACCAATCAAGCTGTCAATGTAATCAATCAGAGCTTTAATATACCAAATGTGCTTTAATATACTTACTAATCTCTCTCATCTCAGTTTTTTCTTGCAATGTATCTGTTGTTATTTTATTAATTCTTTTAGAATTTACCTACTTAAAATTATCTGTTAGATTAAGGACCTGCCCAAAATGCTGTGCGTACTAGTGGCTTTTCAAGATTGTAAATACTATGCTATGTATTCTCACAAACCCAATGTACCTTCTTGTATATAAATAAATAAATAAATAAATAAATAAATAAATAAATAAATAAGTAAATAAATAAATAAATAAACTTACGGCAGGTAAGGACTCTCCCAACAGTGAGGGACTCCAATTCTAAACTGTGACCAAGAGGTAGGACACTTCAACACAATGTTAGTGAATGATCTCATATCAGTGATTTAGACCAAATAGGGTGAGATACTTTGAGCTCTGTAATTATTATTTTTCACTCACGTACATTTGAATTCTTACCGACCCAAATTTTGCTAGTTAGGCTTTTAGATTATTTGTCTTTGATTCCATATATGACTAACCATTCTATGATATGGTGATATTAGATGAACTTAAAGCTAGCTGTTGATCTATACCTAAGCCTGTTAATAAAAAATATATAAAATAAAGATTGCAGAGAGCACAAAAGAGATTAATAAGACCTCAGTCAATTTTGATCTGCACATATATATATTTAATTATAATAACTAGTATACCTGACTACTACTTGCACTGCACCTGCAATGTATGACAATATACAGTGCAGTTCATAAGTATTTGTACAATGATTCAATTTTGGTGGTTTTAGTCATCATACTCTGCACATAGGATTTTATATGAAACAATCCCTGTAAGGTTAAGATGCTGACTTTCAGCTTTAATTTGGGGGTATTTACATTTATATTGGATGAACCATGTATAGGAATTACAGCCCTTTTATACATAGACCCCCTGTCCACCTGGTCGAGTCTGGTTATGCTTTTTACAAGATCAGCGTTCGATCCCCGATAATTCAAGTGATTAAGCACTATTCCTTTCCCAGTCCTTTTATTCCAGATCCTTGTCCACATGTCCCTTTCAAGTGCTGTATAGTCACATTGACTTAGCATTTTATCTTGATAATTACTCTACCTTACTTTAGATAATTACTTTAGAGAACCAAAGGAAATAGGGTAATTAGCTGCGCCACAATTTCTTGACCACCTATATGTCATTGCATTGTTAGTTCATGCACAGGAGAGGTAGCAAAAAAGTCTAGAGTTGACTTTGGGTTTGTCATTTAATGATAATAATAATAATTTATTCACAAGAAGGTACAATAGGTTGGTGAGATTACATAAGATTGATATATGGACCTGCTTGAAAAAAAAAAAAAAAAATTCTATAGGAAGGAAACATGACTAATGAGTTGCGTCAACTCATTGATGGCGAAATACCCAGGTTTTCAGTAATTGCCAAGCCTATGGTGCTAATATTCACCGTTCAGCTCTTCCTCAATACTCCCTCGGGAGTCGACAAGCCATCTTCTTCATTAACACACGGTAGCTGATCAAGTAAGTAATTATCAAAGAAGACACCAAGTCAGGAAGGCTATGTAGCACCATCAAATGTGCGGAATTATCAGAGATCACTAAATATCACTGAGGATGCCAATATGAGAACAGAAACGCATAAGGCGAACAATATCAAAAGTATCCGATTAACCAAAAATTCTATCGCGAGATAAGTAACCGCAGGGAATGGTTGGAAAGCAAGACACTCGCTCGTCCTGGAAGTCAGGACATTCAACAAGGATATGCACAACTGGACAATGCAGTTAGGACAATAAGGACAATTAGGACAATGCAGACAAGTGGGACAATGCAGTTAGGACAATAAGGAGCAGGACGGCACTCCATTAAGTGTTCGTGAGTTAAGCGCGTATGGCCAATACACAACCTTACCAGAGCCATTTCCTACCGCCGGTTACGGTGGTAAGAGGATAGTCACAGGGACACACTACTCTTGAGAGTATGCAGTTTGTTACCAGTAACAGAAGACCAAAACCCTGCCCTGCCAATGGGCAAGGATGGAGGAATGAATAACTGGGTAAAAGTCGGAATAAGGAATACCTTTACGGGAGATGGGACAAGTGTGGATAACTTCCTTAGCGGCAGCATCCGCACGCTCATTTAAAGAGACACCAATATGGCTGGGAAACCATCAAAACTCAACTGTCTTAAATCTACTGGAGATAAGAAACAGTCAATGTTGAATTTCGACTACCACCGGATGGACTGGATTAAAGGACTCCAGAGCCATGAGGGCACTGCGAGAGTCAACTACAACCACAAAGGAGGATTGACAGCGAGAAAGTAGGAGACGAAGAGCATAGAGAATAGCATAAAGTTCTGCCATGAAGATGCTAGTGTCCGGAGGCAGGCGACACATATAGGTGTGGTCAGGAAGAACAACAGAGTAGCCTACACCGTCTACAGACTTCAACCCAATGGTGAAGATGGAAACGGAGCGGGAATATGAAGAAAAGTGTTCAAGGAAAAGGAGTTTAAGAACTGTTGGAGTGGTAAAAGCTTTAGTGATGTGGGTTAGGGATTTTGCAATATTGAGGAAGGGGGGACCCTCAACGGGGGCAAGGGCGAACAACACGAGGAGAAATATTAGTACACAGTAATGCTAACCAAAAGAGAATGTTGCAGGCGAGACAACTGGACAGAAAGAGGGAGGTGGTGAAGGGGAACAGGAACTACAGGAGGGGGAAAAGTCAAAGCATGACACAGGCGAGAGTGAGGGTGTTGTAAGGACTGTGCAAGGTAGCAAAGACAGTAGTGATCACGGCAGTCCTGGAGAGACAGGAAGCCAGTGTCAATGTACAAGCTGAGGGTGGGAGTCGAACGAAAGGCACCAGAGCTGAGGCACAACCCAGTAAGGTGCAAAGGATCAAGGCAGCGAAGAGTAGAAGGAGAAGCAGAAGAGTATGCATGGCAACCATAATCAAGTTTAGACAGTACGAGAGAGGCATGCAAAGAGAGTAGCATGCACCTATCCGCTCCACAAGAAGTATGGGACAAAGCCTTAAGTAGGTTTACGGCCTTAGAGCACTCAACTCGGAGGTAAGAGATATGGGGCTACCAAGACAAACGAGTGTCAAAGATTAACCCCAAAAGCTTTGCAGAATCTTTGTACACAAGGGGATGACCATAAAGTGACAAAGAGGGAAGAAGAACGACATACTTCCGAGTAAAAGTCATAGCACAAGTCTTAGTTGTAGAGAACTTGAAGCCATGATTGGTGGCCAAGACAACACGGCATCAATCACAAGTTGAAGCCGCCGTTGAAGGAGAGGCGAATCATCACCTCGACAGTAAAGAGAAAGATCATCGACATAAAGAGCGGAGAAGATGCCAGAAGGAAGGGAGGAAAGAAGACTATTGAGGTACACTACCTTGG